GTACGTGTGCTGATCTTTGTAATTATAAATTGTGAATATGTGTGACTAATATTATTTTCTTTTTTATTTTGTGCATGTTATAAGTTATAAATAAATATAAACAAACAACACTAACTCGATAACATTAAATCTAAATACCAAAATGATTAATTTACTGTGTTTTTGTTATTTCTTACTCCTGTTTTTAGGTATTCAGTATTCGGCCGAATAGCAAAAAAAATAGGCCAAATACCAAATAGTAACCGAATATTCGTTACATCACTAGTTATTAAGCATCAAAGTAGTTGAACTAAATCATGTCATCATACACATTGTAACATCTTAAGTGAGAACATCTTAACGGGTTTTACTGTACTATATAAAATGACAAAAAAGCTTACTTTGAGGGTAAAGACAAGTTTTATTTATTTTTTTTAATTTTGAACACTAATAATGTGTAAAATATTCATTAAGAGATATGACACATGATCCCTTTTATGTCTTCACCCTGTCGATCTTTAATTAAGAACCAAAATTTAATAGTATTAATGCCCCTTTATATGCAAGCTACAATCCCACATTTCGTCTCTTAAACTTTACCCATTCTGAGATATTGCTTAATATCTCAGAACAGAAAATAAAGAAATTTAAACAAATTGGATGCCAACATACACACGTGTGCTAATTTTTCTCCTTTTATTGACTTTTTTTTGGGGTTCGGGAGGTCTCCAAACGTGTAGATTTGCAAAAAAAATACTTGAAGGGTCAAATTTGACACAATTCCAATACTTTTCTGTTTTATATACTTTTTACTTTCCAACTTGGAAAGTAAGTTGGAAAGTAAAAAGGAGTCGGAGTCGGCAGATTTTTTGACTACTCCGACTCCACAACCTTGGAATTTCCTCACACAACAAAGGACCTGGGGCTGTATTCTGGTCACTTGTCTCTTCTTTTAGAAATAAATGACATCAACATGAAAGACAAAACTCATCTTTAGGAGACAAAACTGATTCTGGTCATTCATAATGAATGATCTTGTTTTTGCAATTGATGTCATGATTCTATTAGATAGATAATACAAATAAGTGTAAATAATGTCATATCACAGTACAGAATTTTAACCAATAAAATTGTAAAATTTTAAAAAATGAGTACAAAATTATTGAACTTGTAAAGAAAGCATAAGGTTCTAATAAAACACAAAGATTTGTTTTGTTTTATAAAGTTTTTATGGACTATAATGTCAAAACATCTTGGATGATGATGTCTCTCAGAAATTTTAATAACAGTTAGAAAAGCATTAGATACTTAGTTAAGGGGAACTAGGAGGAAATACTTGAAGGGTCAAATTTGACACAATTCCAATACTTTTCTGTTTTATATACATAAGTTGGAAAGTAAAAAGGAGTCGGAGTCGGCAGATTTTTTGACTACTTTAATGTATAAGTATTTTTTGTACTTTAATGTTTCAAAAAGTACTTTTAGAGATTGGCTTGGAGTTATGGATAAGATTAACAGCATATGCAATCGTTCAGTAATTGATATTGAATTATTAAAAGAAGGAGTCCATGGCATTTACAGTGAAATGTAAAGTGGCCACTTTAAAAAAAGATTAAAAGCATTATCTCTATCTCAAAATACTCTTCTAAGATAATGTTCTGTAATTGTATAGCATGAGTGACATCTAGTCATCCATATTTGGATATAATGAAATCAAGGTTACAGACAGAAGACAGCTATCTGCTTATGTCTGGAAAATGAACAAATCTTCAAGGGAAAGTCATCCAGAATCTTGTTTAGGTAGAAACAATGATCTCAAGACACGAACAAAAATTTAGCCATTCAGTAACCAGCTTTGACATAGACATTGTCTCTTGAAAACAAGAGATGGTGATCAGAATATGGCCCCTGATATTAGCTCTTATGTTTCACTTTTGCATAAACCACAAATAAAGGGCAGTGTTATTTGCTTATCTCTAGTTTTTCTCTTCTTTGAACCATTATCTGAGTCTAGTTTTGATACAAAATTTTAAGATAGCTTCTCTGTTCCTTTTTATGTCTGAAATTGTTGTTTTGCCAACAATAAAAACATCAGCCAGACACACTTCAGTTTCTCCTTTATTAAGATAGTAAAATTTCCATCTTTGACTCTATTAGCGAGGTTGCAGCCAATGTTTTCATCTAAAAAATGTGAACGTCGAATGTCAAGTGCCACTATCTTGTAAGCGATGTTCGACATTCTTAGAGATGAAAACATCAGCCACAACCTTGCTATTGTTAACACACACTACTTTCTTTTTGAAGACAGGTCATTCTGGACAAGAATGTTGAATGCTAATTTACTACACATGTACCAGATAACTCACTTCACTACCTTTTACAAAAATTAAACATTTCCAAATTTTCCAACAAGGAAGGAAGGATTTGGGAATTGCATGGGTATTATTGGAACATATAACAGTAGTAGTAACTAATGTTGACAAGATAAGCATATTAAGATTGGCACTCAAAGCCCCAAACACAAAAAGCAGGATTGGGAGCATCTGTACTGGAATTTTCAAGAAACATATATTGCAGGCAGTATAATTCTGAGAATATTCCACACTGAAAAATATGGTTATTACTGTCAAGACCAATAAATTGTCTTTGAAAAGCAATAACCATATTCAAATAGAAAGACATCCATTTATGGCTTTTTGTATTTGGCAATCCAATAAAATGTAAATGCTAAAAAAAAGAAAAAGAAGAGAAGTTTGGATATTTGTTGTCACACTGTATTTGAGACTTAGAAAGACTTTTTCAGAGATCATTAGCAATAGAATATTTACCTTGTCTCCCACTAACTTTTACTGCTCTACAACTGGACATGCTTTTTAGTTAGTTTGAAGATAATGATTATATTGTGTAAGATTAATAGAAAAACCTCCAAAACATTAGTGAATATTTATATTGCCCAAAATGTGATTTTATTGTAAAAAACTTAATTTTATAAATTTTTATTTTGTTAATGATTGGATAAAATTACAATTATCAAAACTTTCAACACTAATGATTTTCTTAAACAATTTGTGAATTTGTCAATGAAATCTTATATTGTGGCAGATAAAAAAAGAATTTGATAGAACAAATAAAGTTTTTCATTTAATGTTTTTATTTCCTTGTTGTTTTATGTGTACAAAGAAATAATTTTATATAAGGTTCTAAATGAAATACTGTTTTAATGTTTGTTTTAGTTACTAAATTGATATAATTTTTATTAATAAATATTATATTTTTTTTCAGGAAAATCAAATAAAACTTAATAAAATGGCAAAAAAGAAAAATGTTGATTTTCAGAAAGTTAAATTTAAAGTTGGACGTTCATTGAAAAAAAATACTAATGTTACAGACACTAGTTTCAAAACTAAAAAAATATTTATAAAAGAAACAGAAAAGCCAAAGACAGAACTTGCCACACATCATAAATTAAATGTGACGGTAAGATTATTTATATATGAAATAGTTATTTTTGTTATAGTGATAATGAAAATTATATATTCTTATAAGAATACTAAGTACATCAAATGTATCTAAATAAATATTAGATTGTAAATGTGGTTTTCTAGATAGTTTTTTCTGAAATGTTATAATTCAGCTGAAATTTGAAAAAAATTATAGATTTATAAATTCCCACTGTTGTCCACTGTCTGTCTGTCTGTGTTCATTTGTCCTTAATCTTGAGAACAGAGTTAGATTGATGAAAGATGAGGCCAGATATGGAAACTTTAGGGATAGGAGGCCCCGATTAACTATACAATTGGTGATTGGTTAACAAACAGTTTGGACTACAAATAAATTGTATAACAAACACTTTCGTGAAAGATTTTTATGTTTGGACAACGAACACTTCACAGAACAAACACCAGAAGAAGCGACATAAAATAATGAATACTGATTGGTCTTCCCTTGTCTTCAGGCAACAATTCGAAATTTTTTAGAGCATGGGAGATATAGATGTTCAACCTGGTATATACTGATTGGATAGTATTCCTCCAAACTTTGAAACTCTCCCTTGTAATTCCAGCCTTTTATTTTTCTGACAAAGAATTTTTTATAGTATTTGTGAGACTGTCGGGTGGGCACTCGTTAAATTTTGCATCAGTTTTTATTTTCGAAAGGTGAGAGTATAATAGCAAACGTAGAGAGTGGGCAGATGATGTCTGATGTTGCTGGGCAGTATGGCTTGAACAGGTTTACAGCAGACGGCAGTTCAATCTTATCTAAGAAAGATAAAGTATAATCAAGAAGATTCAAGCAGCTAAAGGAGTAACAAAAATTACATCTGAGAAATAAAGAACATTGAAGTGCTCATAATGGAAACTGATCTGATGACAGAAGAACGCCAAGAACTCTTGAATGAAGAACACCAAGAAACTCAGCGATATGTTTTCTTTTGAAAAAGAGGATTAATGCCGATATCTACTATTAAACATCTTTTGAAGAAGTGGGAGGATGTCAGAATAATGGTCTTAGAATGGCATTCAAACCAGGTTGAGGTTAATAGGCTTGGGGAGGTCTACAACAACAATGCTATTAATTAATTCTGAAAAATCCTGAAGAGTGAAAAGCAATTGACATAGGACGGATTCTTTAATGCTCCAAAAACAGAAAAAACATAACTGATAAAAATGCAAGATTGTATATATATGTATTTTTATTATTACACTAGCTGCAAGGACCCACTTTGCTGGGTTTTTATTTGTATGTAATATAGTTTTTTTTATATATATAAAAGACTGTTTTTCTAAGTAATCTAGAATCTAGCTGCAAGGACCCGCTTTGCTGGGCAAAAAGTAACGATAGTGAAGATTAAGATAATTACATTATAGCTAATCTTACCCGTTTTCATAGAATGCAAGAATTTGGTCCCCCGTTTCCAGACTAATTAGAGAATTTTTACGTT